AGGGCGGCGCCATCACCTCCTTGATGCGTTGTGCCATTTCGGAGGGGGAGAGCACTCCCTCGACGAGCGCCGTCCCCTCGAGCGACACCCCAGGCGCCATCATGTGTAGGGGAAGCACGCGCCTCATCAGCGGCGCCACTCTCCGCATGTGGTAGGCGCCGATGATCCCCGACCCCTTCATGCCCCTCTCCTTTAGGATGTGGATGGCAGCGAGGTGGTCCTGAATCTTCTTGTTGTCTTTATCCGAGACCCCCACTTCCTCCATGATTCTGGGACCTCTTTGATGAGGCGCCCGTTAAACGCCAAAGGGGGTGGCTGCGTCGTCCCTAACATAGAACCAATGCGAATGCAACCCCTTGTTGGAGATTGACAGACGCATCGGTGGGTATTCGTTTACCCAGTTGTTGCAGAGCCGAATGTCGGCGCATCCCATTGGCACGCTCAGCTCCTGCCTCTTCTCTCGCTTCTTGAGGAGGGTGACGACGAAGAAGTGCCGCCACAGGTCGAACTAGGGACTAATCCCTAGGAACCCCTCACATAGGGCGACAAACGCCGCAATGTGTTAGATCTCATTGGGAGTAAGGTGCTACAGCTCCACATTGTAGTAATTCAGCAGCCCCCGTAGGAACTTGTGGGCGGGGGTGATGAATCCCCACTCGTGGAAGTGAGCAAAGGACACAATGTAGCCTTCGGGCGGCGACGTCGTGCGCGTCCTCATTGCCGGGCAGCCACCACTCCTCGACGGCGGTTCGTGCGCAAAGAAGGCCACGACGAATGAGGCCCTCCAGGCACTGGAGGGTGACATCGGATCTACACCATGGCTCCATTGAATGATTGGGGTGGGTGGATGCGAACTTGATTAGCGGCGGAGGTCATAGATGCGAAGGCAAAGAGGCAATGTACGAAACCCTAGGGGCGAACCCTTTGATTTTATAGGGGCGATGGATGCGAGGAAGGCAACCGTCTGCCTAGATCTTCACCTACTATGATTCGCCACCACGTCACCATGCGGGATATGCGCCCCTAATCCCTATCCTTTCCCACCAAAGTCGCGCCGGACGTTTCGCCTCTTCTCGGGCAGACCAGGACTCTTTACCAGCAAAAGGATACAAATAAAAAATGCGTTCCTCCAGCCCACGCATCAACGGTTTCAGCGACCATCCCAAGGCAGCCTCATGACAAAGGATAGGCTCGTGAGCGGCCAAAACCTAGGCACATGAGTGCCACAAGTATCTCGACCCACGATTGAGTCTCGGCCAGGCTGACTCTTGCTAGATCCCCGTGAACGGGATACCGGGACTCCAATCGAACTACCCAGTTATCAAAACACCAAATCTCATAGCCATACCCGTGAAAGGGTCTGAATTACCCCCTAGGCGATTCTATCCGAATCACCCGAGGGCTCAGGGGCTACACCCGACGGGTGCGGTCGCGCACACCCTCTGGCGAATCGAAATACCCCCGGGTGATTCTATCCGAATCACCTAGGGGCTCGGGGGCTACACCCGTCGGGTGTGCTCGCGCGCACCCTCTGGCAAGTCAAATCATCCCCCGGGCGATTCTATCTGAATCACCCAGGGGCTCGGGGGCAACTATCGGGGACCTAATATTGGGGTACCTAAAGAGGATGAGTTAATAACCATCAAACATTGATGGTTTCGAACAGACAAGAACGCAACTTCACTTCTTGCCCAAACGACTGAAGATTGGCTCCGCCTCACCCGACCCCAGAGGGCTGGCTCCGCCTAGCCCGATGTCTGGGGGCAGGCTCTGCCTCACCCAACATCTAAGGGCTGGGCTCCGCCTCGCCCGACGTCCAGGGCAGACTCCACCTCGCCCGATGACTGAGGGCAGGCTCTGCCTGCCCGATGTCTAGGGGCTAGCTCCGCCTCGCCTAACGTTATGGGGCAGGCTCTGCCTCGCCCGACGTCCCAGGGCTGGGCTCTGCCTCATCCGATGACTGGGAGCAGGCTCTGTCTCGCCCGACGTCCGAAGGTAGACTCTGCCTCACCCGACGTCCGAGGGCAGACTTCGCCTCGCCCGACATCCGAGGGCAGACTCCGCCTCGCCCGATGTCTGAGGGCAGACTTCGCCTCGCCGACGTCTATGCGCTACTCCTTCATAACTACGCGTGCATATAAGGCGGGGCAATCAAGTCAACCGCAATATCAAGGACCATACGCTGCACGCCTGCAGGGAAGTACCATCGGGATATGACCAGACAGGCGCTTTAAACCCCTCCGGGCATGTCAGAGCCCAAACAGTGTTGCGGGCGCCGATATTTATCCTATAGTGTTATGGGTGTCGGCATTTGCCCTCGGACACGAATCCTAATGGAAACATACGACAACCGCTACGGTCCAAGAAGAAAACTCATATCATCTACAGTAAGGAACGTGGGGCCTCTATGCCGTCTGCTCCCCATAGGGTCGCGGCTCGGCATCCTGGTGCGTCGCGCCGCCCGTCGGAGTGGGATGGGACGTGACCACTTGCCAAACGAAGCCAGAGCACGGGCCTATCAGGATCAACGAACATGCCATCCCTGGCACCGTCTGCCATGTTAGCAGGGCAGGCTCAAAGGAGAAGGAAGGTCCGGCACCTTTGAAAGACCTTCTCTACCTCTAGTTTTTCCTCTTTCTTCCATCTATAATCCTGCTCTCCCTTGGTCTATAAAAGGGAGGGCAGGGCACCCCACTAAAGGGATAGATCAATTCAACACACCACGCATCACATAACACACAGCTGAGCAACAACCGAGCTCTCAGCGCCCTTTCAACATTTCCATCAGACTTGGGACATGTCCCTCTCTCGACCATTTGTACCCTCTACTATGAACCTTTCAGTGCTAATAATACGAGCAGCAGTAGCAAACTAGACATAGGGATATTCCACCCAAATCAGTATAAACCTTGTGTCTTTTAGCACACCATCCGGACCCAGCGCGCAACAAATATAAATTTACTAGTTGATGTTTACTCGAAACACCGACAGCCCTGGACCCCATGACAGGAGGGTGATGGATTGGTCCTGCTTGTGGCTAGGGTACAAGCGGGGCGTGTGTTTTTGGGGTACCCAGTTGAGGGCATTGATTCGCAAATCGTCGGAAAATTCGGTACGACTTGTTTAAACTCTAGCACCGTAGTAAGAACTAAAAGAAAAGGTGATGAAATGAAACTGATTGCTCAACTCTTGCTTAAAAGTAGAACAAATGCTTACATAGAATGGCTAGATAATAAATTAATCATGGCTGATAATAATAATATAAATAAGGACTCACTATTAGTATTACTTTCTACAAAAAGGAAACATGCAAACCATAAAGTTTCGCATATCCCTTGGAGTCGGGAAATTATTCCCACTAGTCAAATAAGTCTTACGAGTACATTGTATACTCAGGGTTTATTTACCCCTGTTGTAGGTAATGCTTGAGGAGTACCTTTGTGTGGAGGATTCTTTTGGTGGGCACAGACGGATCCTTGTGTCTTTTATCGCTAGATGTTTATTTTTAATTCCGTTGTTAAATATTCCGCACTCTGACATTTGACAATGTAATAATGAATTTCTAAGAACCCTGGATGTATGAAATGTATGAAGTATTGTAACTCGTTCTCATTATTGGATCATTGAGGAAAAATATGGATTTTTGGGTTCTCCCTTAGGGTGTGCCTGATGGATATCGCCCGCTGTAGCTTGCTTTCGGGGTGCTTAGTGTCTGGTGGAAGACGAGCGTCACCGTAAGTGTATTATTTCGGACGATTCTGCCACAAAGTCAGGGGATATAGTACTACTTATATTAGGCAGTGGATCCAAAGAGGGCCTGAATGATATGAATGTTGTAAGGTTAACGTTTCTTTTTCGTTTAATGAGATGCTACATAAACAATGGCATATCACTAAATTTGTAGAGAGGAGACCAGAAATGAGGAGTTTCACCTAAAACCGGTGAACAATCTTTCCAAAACTTAGAAAATGTTCACATGTAAATGCTACGTGTATTTGCATATGAAATAATGAAATTGAAACTATATATTAGAGGAGGCGAATTTATTTACCATCACAAATACTCTCTCAGTCCGACAAAGAAAACAACTCTCGGATATCGAGGAGAAACTAAGCAACATGATAAAAGACGCATGTGCCCCTATATGTCCCTTGGTCTTGGAATCTACTCCATGCTTGCATTGTCCACCCTGAGTTGTTGCTGTACCACATGAAATGATTACTCCTACCACACTAGTCTATTCTATGATACTTTGGAGAGTAGCCTCGGTACTCTAGAATTGCATTCTTTCTCGGACACGCGATAAAACGCAGGATTATGTTCTTTTGCGGACGGAGGGAGTAATTTTAGACAATGAGTATCGTTGGAAACACCAAAACGAAATTCCCATTAAGATTATAGCTTAGGCCTTGTTTAGTTCCTCATCCTCAAGTTTACTCCCTATCACATCGGATGTTTGATACATGTATGGAGTATTAAATATAGACTAAAAAATAATTAATTACATAGATTGTGACTAATTTACGAGACGAAATTTTAAGTCTAATTAGTCTATGATTTAACAATGTGTTGCTACAGTACATATGCTAATGACGGGTTACTTGGGTTTAATAAATTCATCTCGAGAATTACCGAGAACTTTTATAATTTATTTCTCACCGGGACATCTCTAAACTTTTAATCTGAGGTGAGTTGCGCCGCCGTACCCCGTACGAGCGACTCGGGAGGAGGGAGGAGGGAGGAGGGAGGAGCCCGAACATTCGCACCCCTGCCCAAAACAGTCGTGCACACTCTTTGCTTCATCTCTTTTGCGATCGCACCCTCCACAGGTCAGTGATTCACACATCACCCGCCCACCCGGGACCGCAAAGCAGAGCAGTGCGCTGTGCGCAGCAGGGACAACGTCTGCACTCGCCCCCCTGCATCCCCATTATTAACACCTCCACCCCCAAAATCCAAAAGCAGCACCGCGAGGGAAGCGGTCACGCGGCGGCGCCGCCATGGGCTACCAGGATGCGCCGGGCGGCGGCGGGAAGCTATCGCTCGCTAGCGTGGGCTTCGCCGGCCTCGGCGCGGGGGCAGGAGGCGGGGGCGGCTACAAGGAGCTGTTCGTCATGGCGCTGCCTACGGACGACGGCCTCGACGGCGCCAAGGTCGCGGAGGCCATTGGCGTCAGGCTACCGGACGTCGGAGGGGCCGTGAGGGTAAGGAAATCCCCACCTGATTTTACGTGGTTTCCATGTTTCTGGAGCGATGGAAGGGACGCGGCTTTCGATTTTGGCCAGTTATTTTTTTTTCCTGAACTAATTGAAACTGGCGTACTGTGCTTCCCCCATTGGTTGCGTGGAGTTTTAGGCTTTTGATGCGATGATTCGTCAGAGAGTTTCAGATTCCTACGTTGTCACAAGGGCATGCCGTTTTTTATGCTGCTAAAGTGCTAAGTGTGCGAATTGTGTTTGATCTAGGGAGATCTTCTCCCACCGTTTTTGCAAGTAAAACTTGCTGCGGTGATGATGCTTTTGGTAATCTCAGATGCCGCCTCGTTGCAGAGTTTTGGCCCAGTTCAGCTTCCAACTAGTCTTGTCAATTGTAGGTGCCTCCGGTTCCTGTCGATATGGACTGTGCTTCTACGGTTCTACAGTACCTTTTATGCTTACATTCATCTCGGTGGCTTCATCCAAATAATCGTTTCCAATTTATTCTTTTCTGAGTCATAGGCCTTCTGTTAAATTTCCATTGATGTGCAACAATTGAGGTATGGATGATGCTATATTATCTTTAGGAGTTAGGACCACATCGTGCATACAATCGATGCGCATGCACCTTTCCTTTTTTGTTTTTTTTCCTCAACCTAGGTCGATAGTTGGTTATCGAATCCCAAACGTAGGCTAGAGTTGGAAATACTAATATTTTCTACTCACCGGCTAAGCTAAATAACTTTTACTCTACATACTCTTTACACCCATACTAGCTGGTTAAGATTGAAAACCTTGAAGAGAAGGTCAAACAGGCTTCCAGAAATCAAACGGAATAAACGTATGTTAAGCCAAGTTAGAAAAAGGTATGGTTTGGTTTGAGATATCCGTTACAGGTCTGGACAAAATGTCTCTTTCACAGATGGCATGGTATCTGTCCTTCTCTGTTCATGCCTTCTGTGGTCTTCATCCACATACTTGGAAGATGTTTACTCATAAAAAATCAGTTGTCTCTGTTCCCCTTGCCCTTTTCATTCTTTGGTACATTGACAACCATACAATGCCAAAGCACTTGCAGTTGCAGGTAGACTTTCCGTAGAGAAGTTGCTTTGATTTCTATTCTCATAGATGCCTTATGAATTTAAACTTTGAAGCTAGTGATGATTTTTGACTGATTATTTGAGGCCTTCCCTTTTATCCAATTCACTGCAGACTATTTTGGAGAGCAGAGAGGCCAGAGAATTTGCCAGTGGAGCACTAGCTGGTGCTATGTCAAAGGCTATTCTTGCCCCTCTAGAGACTATCAGGTAGTCACTAACTTTTATCTCTACCTTTAACCTTTGCACTTGGCCAGTTAATTTATTTACGCATTACAACTCTAGATGCAAATCCTACAGCTAGTTTGCTCAACGTTGAAACTTTAAGCTTGGTTTTCATTGCTTCTTATGATGCACTTCATAGATGAGATATGCCACCAACCTGATAATTACCCATAGCACATTTATCTTTTGCATGATGCTTTGTTCTGAAAGATGACATATACCGATAATTCACAAATAAATTACTTAGTTTCTCCAGAGCACTACCTTAGTGATGTGCTAGAGATGTTTCTGGTATTGGGCCGCTTACACATCCAATTTGGAAAACAACTCTTTCTCTCTCTCCATGCAGTTTCTCATTATATTACTGCTGCATATAACCAAAGCTCTATACTCCCTCTATCCAGAAATATAAGGTATGCTAGGAATTCTAGGACAGATTTTGGGGTGAAACAAATGACAAATGCAACCTCTCTTAATCATGGGGAGATATTGTGCTTGCCGTATTTGGAGCCTAGTGGTTGGATTGACAATAGACATTAATGGTAGGTAAGCATGTGATTGGGGCCTGGGGGCATTATAAGTGAGGAGGAGGAGTTAATTAGCCTAAAATCCTTTATAATTTGGACAAATTTTGAATAAGGATGAAGGGAGTATCAGTGAAAAGGGAGGAGTTTCTTGTCATGGATAAATATATTATTTTGTTTTGCGTACAACAGATATCATTTTTAAAAATTTGCAAGTTATTTCAACTGTGGGTCTGCTTGGTTCTTTCACTGGCATCTTGCCTTGCTTGGATGGGCAAAATGCCTTGCTTGGCAAGGTTAGCTGTGCCAAGAGGGTTGTTTGGTAGTTTTTTCAGGATGAGCAAGATTTCTTGGCAATCTGTTTGGTAACGTTGCTAGAAGCTTGTTTTTGCTGGCCAGGTTACTGTCACGCTTGTTTGGAACCCTTGCCCCAATAGCTGCCACTCAGCACTTTACCCTTTTAGGTGAGGTTACCACCATCCATTTAATATACAAGAAAACTTCAGCTTTAACACTAAATATTTGCAAAGTTAATTGTTCAATAGTTAACAGTACAAGAACGTTTCAAATCAAAGGAAACTTGCAACTCCATTGCAATCTTTACCACCAACAGACCTGCCATTTATAGTTTGATAAGACCGCATACACTATCTGCCATATACAGTTTCATATGGCCGAAATATGACATCTGCCATACCTTCATATGGCCCAAGTACACAGTGCCGCAAGTGTAGTTATATACTACCAAAATATATAGCATGCCATATACATATATTTATATGAGGCCAAAATATGCAACTTGCCGTATATAGTTAGACACTACTGCAAATACTGATGAGTCATCAGTAGACTTAAGCTTCAGATAACAATCACACAGGATAGTGATCCAAGACCCATCGTGCTACCCATTGCTCGACAGCTTCCGCCGGGCGCCCCTTCAACATGCTAGCAATGTGACGATTTTCAGCAAGATAAGTCTGTAAACCAAGGTGTACCAGGTCCAGCAAAGGATATTCCTCCATGGCATCAATGGCTTTGTAAATACTCTCATTTGGATCAGTGACATGAGTAAAGCGCATTGTTTTCTGACAATGCCTGCATGGAACCAGCAATTTCATGAACCGTCTCATCACCTTGCTTAGGCCACTTTCCTTTCTTCTCCTTTTCTTCAGGTTTGCGCTTAGAACCTACTGAGTTTGGACTATCATACTCTGGGAGGTCATCAGAATCATAGTGCTGAGATGGATCAATATCCAGATTCACTACTTCAGCTGCTTTGACATTCCCAATGAGATCATCCTCTTGCCTTGCTGGGCGATCAAATGGTACTTGAAGAACACTAAACTCTCCAGTAGCATGTTTTCCAGTGAATACAAACTCCATCTCATCAAACAAGGGAATTGGAACATTGTAGTACTTGGCTCTCTTGTCACCATTCTACATTTACACAAAAGAAAAAAAAATCATTAAGATACAATCCAGTTTGCAACTGTAATTTATGTCACAATGATATTCAACATGTATACTTACTGCTTTCATCTTGACAACCTCTACATCATCATGGATTATCTTCTTTTGAATATCATCAAAACTAGCACCATTAGCAGAGTTTGCCTCCATGATCAGCTTCAGCTTCCATTCTGCTTTGAGCTTATGGTACTTGTTGAGTTGTTGTAGGTTTGTTTCCATGTGAAGTTGGTACCATACTTTTCATTAAGCCTTCGAGCACACTCTTCATGATGGGCCTCCCTTAGAACAAAGGCCCTCCCTCCCTGACTCTTGGATTTTCTCCTTGTGGTATAGAAGGAGATCCTCCACTTTTGCTGCCACATCACACTGTTCCCAGAGATTCCTACAAATGACAAATGACAACTTAAATTTGCAAGAATAATAAGAACTGTAGTACAGATCATTTTTAAATATGGTCCCAAAGCAACATACATCTCACATTACATCCAAATAATAGTCTTAATTTTCTGATACAATAAAGGCACAATAATAGTAGTACAAATGAAACTAATATCTCAAGCATTATCTCTAATAACTAAATGCCTATTCTCAATCATTTTATTAGCAATAACATCCCTAAGCTGTCATTTGCCTTTGTTCTGCTCCAGTGTGTTGACGGAAACGGTTTGAACGAGGATATAACTCTCTCCATAATTGTTCAGTGTATACGAACTGGTCAGCTCCACCATTTTGCAAAATCCAATTGTGAAGCATGCAGCATGCTATGACAACCCTTGTGAAGGAAAGGGGTAGAATGGTCTACTCATGAGTACTTTGAATCTGTTCTTCAAGGTACCAAATGCTCTCTCAACAGTGGCGCGCAAAGAAGAGTGTCGCAAATTGAAAAGTTCTTGTGGGGTCTGAGGCCTAAATGGTAACGAACTTGGGGATATGGTGGTAAAAATCCCAGCATTGCAGCATATCCAGCATCTGTGAGATAATACTTACCTAACATATGATTTGTTGTATGCACAAATGCATCGAAAGGAGCAACCAAACCTTCTGGAACACGGAGCCCATTTGGGTGATCCAGGGAGTGTCTCAAGACAGTAGAGTCATGTGCTGAACCTTCCCAACCAGCACTCACATATGTGAACAACAAATCAAAATCAACAGCTACTAGGACATTTTGGGTTGTGAATGGCTTTCTACCACGAAAACGATCTGCCATAATTGCTGGAGCATTGCAGGGGATATGGGTTCTGTCGATAGCACCAATGCAATAGTTTGTATAAATCAGAGAAGTTAGCACTTATATAAATTGATTTGTTACTTAACCAATCGTGTGTTTTTATTTTATTAGACATGGTGAAGCATACCTCAAAATATGGGTAGAATCTTGTGTTGTTTTGGATTTTGGAGAGTACATCTGTTGATCTATGTCTAAGCATCTCAGGTCCAAGTTGGCCAATAGCATACAGAACTTCGTTGAAATATCTACTAATAGTTTCAGTAGATCTTGAAAAATGAAACTTTTTGTCCCTGTTCTTTTTCTTATGGCCAACTGTTTGAAGAAACGTGGCTACTTGTTCCTCAACTGAGCAGTGCCAAGTGTCACGAAGTGCATGCATAGAATGTAACTTTGTGCATAGATTGAAGAAGACATCTTTACTCATTCTAAGAAGATTAATAGTGTCTGAATCTTGGCCGCAATATAAGTTCTTTAGGTAAGCCATCCTGTCCCTATTTTTCTCCAAAATAGAGTACCTTACAGGACTACTTTTATTGTGTAGGTAACAGATGACTGTCCAATTTGCCACCATAGATGCAGCCATAAAAGCCAGTTTGCTATGGAAATCTAAAGTGTTGTCCATCTTTATGAACAATAAAATCAGTTCTTTAGTTGCTCTTGCATGGGAAATAAAAAAGCATGAATTCATCCTAAAAGCTAATAGTCTCAAAGGAGGAATATCATTGGTCTCTCCTATTTCGTCCAAAAATTAAGCCTCTAGTACAGACTGAACTGCATTGTACTTATTTGACCTACCACGAAATGCGTTAATGAGTTGTGCTTGCTACTACTTGCAGGCTTTTCCACTAAAAGAAAAGTTTCCACCCCCAAATCTTAGTACGTTACCTTCAACTAGATGGAAAAATGAATCTGTGCATCAAATCACAAAAGTTTTGAAGGGAAATACAAGTTTATAAGTACAAGGAAAGAATCTGTGCATCAAATCGCAAAAAAAATGGAGAAATGCAACTTGAGTTACCTCTCAGGAAGGGCAGCCGGCAGTAATCTGCGATTGTGCAGAGATGGCCCCCAAATCCTAGATGTGGAGGACAGAGTGCACCAATCCAATGAACCTGATTAGTGATTTTACAGAGAGAAGGGATTAGAAGGGGAAAAACAGATGGGGTCATGGGGAGAATGCAGAGAGGAGCAGAGAGCCCGAGAGGGAGTACCTGTGTTCTACGAGTTGAGAAGAGGTGGAGAGCGGTGAGCAGACGCATCCCGCCTTTTCTTCCTTGCTCGCGTGCTTTTGTTCGCTCGACGCGCTCGCCTTGCCTGCGCGAGAGAGCCAATTCGGCTTGCCCAGGCTGGCAAGGATTTTCTCGCCCGCGGAGGCAAGCTCGCCTGGCATAGCTAGTTTTCTCTATGCATACCAAACAGGTATCCTTGCCTAGTTAGGCTAGGCCAGCAATTGTCTGGCTGAGCCAAGAAACCAAGCAGATCCTGTGTTGTTGAAACATGTAGTTCAACAAATGCTGTTGGCTGATTTGTTTCAACATCATACAAATATTTTCATAATTATCTATCGATTAAAGCAAAAGGAATGGTCACATATACCATTGTGTACTAATTTCAGGACAAGAATGGTTGTAGGAGTAGGATCTAGGCATATTTTTGGTAGTGTGGTGGAGATCATTGAAAAAAATGGGTGGCAAGGGCTTTGGGCAGGAAATACAATCAACATGCTCCGCATTATTCCAACACAAGCAGTTGAACTCGGAACATTTGAATGTGTCAAGAGGAGCATGACAGAAGCTCAAGAGAAATGGAAAGAGGATGGATGCCCAAAGATACAACTTGGTAATCTGAAAATCGAGCTTCCACTTCACTTCTTATCTCCAGTTGCTATTGCCGGTGCTGCTGCTGGAATAGCTGGCACATTGGCATGCCATCCTCTCGAAGTTATCAAGGTAATTGCTAAATTGAGTCCTTGTTGACAGATAGCTCTAGTTCTTCATCCGTATATTCAACTGTGAAAGTCTTATTGCATTGTTACTTAATGTCACATTATTGATGTTCTGACAGGATCGCTTGACTATCAATCGAGAGGTTTATCCAAGCATTAGCCTTGCCTTCAGCAAGATCTATCGGGCTGATGGTATAGGTGGTCTCTATGCTGGGCTCTGTCCAACACTAATTGGCATGCTTCCTTACAGCACATGCTACTTTTTTATGTATGATACAATCAAGACCTCTTACTGCCGCTTGCATAAGAAGTCATCTTTGAGCCGCCCTGAGCTTCTAATTATTGGGGCTCTTTCAGGTAAATGAATCAGCATCTCATTGCATCTAGTTTCAGTCAGTCACCTGTGGCTTACTACTTCAACATTTTGTCTTAAATTGACAACGAGATAGAAAAGTCAGGGCCATTCCGTTTCATGATAACTTGGAGTCTGATCAAATAGGACTGACATTTTACTTTTGGATACACAGGTCTCACTGCAAGCACAATCAGCTTCCCGCTGGAAGTAGCAAGGAAGCGGCTGATGGTCGGCGCTCTGCAGGGGAAGTGCCCGCCTAACATGATTGCTGCTTTGTCAGAGGTGATCCGGGAGGAGGGGTTCCTGGGGCTTTACCGTGGGTGGGGGGCGAGCTGCCTGAAGGTCATGCCGAATTCCGGCATCACCTGGGTGTTCTACGAGACATGGAAGGATATTCTTCTGGCTGAGAGGGACAAGCGGCGCGCTTAGCGAACAAGCTGTTTTTTTTAACAATGGAGGCGGTGCCGTAGATGAGTTTGCTCCTTTGCTGGGATTTCTGATCCATTTTCAGTTTTGGAATCCCGCCTGTGCCGAATGGGTAGATATGATGCGTTTCTCTTTTTGGCTGAGTGGAAGCATTTGTTGCGTAATCGATTCTGAATATCTGATTGATTTTTGTTATGTTAAGAAATGGATTTCATGAACTCCTAATCTATATCTATGTATCCTATATAAGTGGAACCGCTAAGTGTCTCTTCTCTGGTTATGCTATGTCATCACCATTGGTGTAGCTGTCCAAGCTTAGATGGAGCTCGTCGAGAAGTGGATGTGGATTCCCTTGATATCTTCTTCATTGTTACTACAACCAATTGAAGACAAACAACTCGGAAACAAAAGACTACGTTAGTGTTAGTGGTTAGCGTTCGACTTGCGGCTTAACTGCCTTATGCAGAGATACATGCAGTACAAGGTATCTTATACAGGTCTAATATTAAGATTATGTAAAACCATCGGACACATTTGTACAACTAACAATGTCGTTTACAGGGTGCCAGACAATAAGAGCCGGGAAGGTTGATGAGGTCTGGGAACAACGATATGGCAGCGAAGACGTGTTCATTGTATGAGTGGCGCTCAATCAACAGGGGTATGTCATGGACGATGAACACAGCGAACATCATGGCGAAGAAGCACCCGAAGAAGGTCACGTTGAAGCTTCCCAGGGGACAGTAGGCCTGGCAGGACCCAAATACACCAAGTGAGATAGAAACGCATCAGGCAGGTAAGGAACTGTTGAAAACATTATGAAAGGAAAGAGAACCTGAATAATCAAGTAGAACAAAAACATGAGGACGTGGTTGATCAGGAAGGGGCAGTAGGTGGTGACTTGGTACTGCCTCATGGCTGCCCATAACGTGTAGATGATGAGGTTAATCATAGCAGCTCCTGTAAGGACCGTAAATTGCAAAACCCCCCTACCTGTTAACATATAAAAATTGCAGATCATTAAGTAAGACAACAAATCTCCATAAAACAGTAGACAGAGAGATACAAATAACATTTCAGCATTGCCTGAAAGCCACACGACTAAAACGTTCCCATGCACAACTGACAACCCATCCCATCAAAACAACGAATCAATAACAGCATCATGCATCATACCAACAACCTACAGCAACTACAGCAAACACACAACGGGGATGGGATATGCGTCCGTACCAATGCTGGTGAAGGCGTTGGTCAATACGCCGATGCTCTGAGGCTGAATCAGAGCGTGACGAGGCCGAGCAGCAGCAGATTCACCGGGTGCTTCTCCCTGTACTTGATCATCGGCCATAACGCTGCACGATTGAACATGAGCACACCCAAATTAACGGGACAAAAAAAAAAAATAGTAGGGAGGACAAGGCGACAGGCGAGGATCGGAATTTAAGAGCGAGGAAAGTGAGCGGAGGCGCACCGACGAAGGGGGCGACGACGATGACGACCAAGGCGAAATAGGCAGCAGCGACGTGGGGACCCGAAGTGAAGAAGCGCGGGACGGCGGGGACGAAGCAGGTGACGGCGACGATGCTGTTATGACCTGTGGGCCTTGGGCTGTTAGGAGTAGTGGGCCGTGGTGCCGCGTGAGTGGTGTTGAGTCGGTGTCCGGCCAGCAGAGCCGTTGTAACAAACCAGGACGAAGAACTGAATGCTAAACCGTCCCAAACAATCTCTCCCACGGATCCTGCCGTGTTCCTTCTAGTTCTTCCCCAATTCTTGCTACGTTTCCACCTCATACTCCCTTCAGTTATCTGGGATCATAACATTTGGTATCAGGAGCTTGGTTGATTTGGCCGAATTTTTTTCCCCAAATCCCGGCGCCGAAGAAGAATCCGCCCAAATTTCAGTTGGAAATGGCGGCCTCTGTTGACGAATTGAAGACGACGATGCAGGCCATGGCGAAGTAGTTCGCCGGGTTCCAGGACATGATGGCCACTGCCTTGGACAAGCTTGGAGCGCTCGAGACCTAGAAGGAGACGGCGGACGGGTCGCTCGGCACCCTGTTGCAGAAAACCACGGCGACGGCGACTCGGGTCGAGGAGACGGCGTCGCGTGTGTCTCGCCTCGAGTTTCGTCCTCCACCACCACCGTCGCCCCCGCCGCCACCTCATTGGAGCGCGCAACATCATCCACCACCAGTTGCGGAGTGGAGCGCGCAACACCAGCCGCCACCAGCTGCGGCGGGTCTCGACCTCAACACGGCTCCGGGAGCGTCGTCCAGTGCGACGCCTCCGCGACCGAATTCGCCCATGGGGCACGGCAATGAAACTCAGAACCGGGACGCTGGCGGGTCGCTCCTCGGAGCGGTTCCGCCTCGCCTGGGCAACGGTACGCTCCATGCTCACGTTTCCGTTCCCCCAATCTATCGAGTTCACGCTGCTGACGATGATTCCCAAACTCATAATCCCCCATTTCCTAAAATGGAATTCCCCAAATTCGATGGATCTAACCCCCGTTGGTGGCGGGACCAATGTGAATTGTATTTCGAGGTGTATGCCGTTCAAGCATCGATGAAGACGCGCTTCGCCGTGCTCAATTTCAAGGGGGCCGCGGCGAATTGGCTGCAGACGGTTCAACGGCGTGGTCGGATTCGGGACTGGGACCAGCTTTGCAACCTGGTGCTGGCCAAATTTGATAAGGACCAGTACCAGATCCTGCTGCGGCAACTGGATTCGCTGAAGCAGACCGCGTCCGTGATGGAGTATCATGCAGAGTTTGAGAAACTAGTGCATGGGGTCCTTCTGTACACCCCAGCAATCGACGACACCTTTTTCGTCACGTGGTTCATCAATGGCCTTCATGATGACATCAGGTCTCCCATTCTGCTCCATAGGCCCGGTGAGATTGATACGTCTAGTGCCCTCGCCTTGATTCAGGAGCAGGAGTTGGACCAGGGGCGCACCAAATCCTCTGGGCGGGATTTCACCAGAGGGGTGGCCCGAGCGTCATCAGGAATGGACAAGAATAAACAGATTGAGCAAGCAAAACAAGTGCCACCAAGGACCGATGCTGATGATAAACCGGCAAGTCTGAAGTCCTTACGACGCAGCAATGGGCTCTGCTTCAAGTGTGGCGAGAAATGGAGTCCTGCTCATAAATGTCCTCCTCATGTTTCTCTGCATGTGCTCGAGGAGATATTGGATGCCTTGGATATTGTAGAAGGTAATGAAGATTTGGACAGCGAAGAGGAAGCTATCTCTGACGAACAAGAAGTATTGGCAGTTCAGCCCACTCCTGTCCATCATAAAGCACACAGATAAACTCTTAAGTTGTTGGCCAAGATTGGCAAGCATCAAGTCTTGATATTGGTTGATTCGGGCAGTGTAGGTACATTTGTGAGCAATCAGCTGGTTCAGCATCTGAAACTCAGTACCACATCTTGTGAGCTGTGTACATTTAGAGCTGCTGATGGGGGGGGGTCATGCTCTGTGACCAGAAGGTCTCTCAATTGAAATGGTTCATTCAGGGACATCATTTCTTGTCTGATGCCAAGGTGCTTCCCTTGAAGTGTTATGACTTGATACTTGGAGAAGACTGGTTGGAAGAATTCAGTCCAATGACAATTGACTATAAGCTTAAGACAACATAGTTTGTCCATGAAGCTAAAACCATTAAGTTGCAAGGAGTGGTTGATGATCCTACTGTGTGTACACCTGTTACTGCTCACAAGCTCAAAGGATTACTCAAATATGGAATAGTGTCCCACTGTATCCAGATGAGGGTGCCTGCACTTCATGATGTGTCAGCTGTGGATGCTACTATGGGACAACCTAACACTAATGAAATATAACCACAAGGTGTGTCAGAGTTATTGATCCAGTACAATCATCTTTTTGCTGAGCCCACTGGATTACCTCCAACCATAGTAGCAGATCACAGGATTCCATTGGTGCCTGGAGCCCAACCAGTAAAGGTGAGACCATACAAATACTCACCTATCCAGAAAACTGAGATTGAAAAACAGTTGAAACAGATGCTAGATCAAGGAGTTATTAGACCTAGTACAAGCTCATTTGCTTCACCAGTGCTACTTGTAAGAAAGAAAGATGGAACTTGGCGCTTTTGCATTGATTATAGACATCTAAATGCCATTACTGTCAAACATAAGCACCCCATGCCAGTTGTTGATGAACTACTTGATGAGTTGGCTGATTCAAAATGGTTTACAAAGTTGGATTTCAGATCTGGTTACCATCAAATCTGCATGGCTGCTGGTGGAGAATATAAGACAGCATTCAGAACTCATAATGGGCTAATTGAATTTCTTGTGATGCCCTTTGGCCTAACAAATGCTCCTGCCACCTTCCAAAGCTTTATGAATGAAATTTTTGCTGCCTTGTTGAGAAGAGGAGTATTAGTGTTCATGGATGACGTTTTGATATACTCCAAGTCATTGGAAGAGCACATTTCCATTCTTCAGCAGGTGTTTGCAATTCTGGAAGAACACAAATTCTTGATTAAAAGGTCTAAGTGTTCCTTTGCCAAGAGTTCTGTGGAGTATTTAGGCCATGTAATCTCAAAAGCAGGAGTTGCTACTGATAGTTCCAAAATTCAAGCTGTGAGTCTGTGGCCTACCCCAAAATCAGTGAAGCAGTTGAGAGGGTTTTTGGGTCTCACAGGCTACTACAGGAAGTTCATCAAATATTATGGTCTAATCAGTAAGCCACTTACTGATCTGTTGAAGAAGAATGTGCCCTTTCAGTGGACTCCTAGGGTGAACACTGCATTTGAAACATTAAAAACTCAGCTTGTACAAGCCCCAGTCCTTGCTATCCCAGATTTCTCACAGTAGTTTGTAATTGAGATAGATGCCAGTGATCTTGGAATTGGAGCTATACTCATGCAAAATCAACAACCAGTGGCATACTTGAGAAAAGCATTGGGACCAAGAAATCAGGCCTTATCTGTGTATGAAAAGGAATGTATGGCTATATTGCTTCCCATAGAGAAATGGAGATCATATTTGCAGCATCAGCCATTTGTTATCAAAACTGATCACAAGAGTTTACAACACCTCACTGAGCAAAGAATATCTTCTAAGTTGCATCAAAAGGCTCTGATCAAATTGATGGATCTCCAGTACACCATTTAATACAAGAAAGGGGCTCACAATGCAGCTGCTGATGCTTTATCCAGATGTGAGCACAGTCAAGAAGTTCAGGCTATCTCTGAGTGGGTACCTACTTGGGTTCAGAGGTTGCAGGAAGATTATGAGGATGATGACCATGCTAAGCAACTTCTAACAGAATTAGCTGTAGCACCTGACAGCGACACAGATTATACATTGCACAATGGAGTTCTGAGATTCAAAGGCAGGGTGTGGGTTGGGAACAACAAAATTGCTCAACAACACATATTGATTGCCTTGCATGATAGTGGAGTGGGAGGACACTATGGTGTCAGTGCCACTTATGCAAGAGTTAAACAGCTCTTTGCTTGGCCTAACCTGAAAGCAAGAATTTGTGAGACAATGCCAGACCTGCCAACAAGCTAAGACTGAACGAATTAAATCTCCAGGCCTCTTGCAACCACTGCCTATTCCAGATCAGGCATGGGATATCATCAGCTTAGACTTCATTGAAGGACTGCCTCCTTCAGACAACTATAATGCACTGTTGGTAGTAATCGACAAGTTCTCAAAGTATGGACACTTTATACCCATCAGACATCCTTTTCACTGCATTGCAGATAGCACATATTTTCATGAGTAATGTGTACAAGCTTCATGGGCTTCCAAAGACCATTATCTCAGATAGAGATAGGGTGTTTACCAGTGCAGTGTGGCAGCAGTTGTTCAAATTGACAGACACCAAGCTGATAATGAGTTCATCATATCACTCCCAAACCAACGGGCAGACATAGCGATTAAATCAATGTGTGGAAGGTTTTCTCCGCTGTACTGTCCATTCTTGTCCTCGCCAATGGAGTAAATGGATCTCGGTAGCTGAATTCTGGTACAATACTTTCATTCACTCAGCTTTGGGCAAGTCCCCTTTTGAGGTGCTCTATGGCTATACACCTCGTCAGTTAGGCATATCTAATCTTCAGCCGTGCAGTATCCCAGATCTGGAGCAATGGCTCACTGATCGGGAATTTCTCTCCCAATTGATCAAGCAACAACTTCAAAGGGCTCAGCAACGTATGAAGTCTCAAGCTGATAAGCAAAGGACAGAGAGAGAGAGAGAGAGAGTTTGCTGTTGGTGATTCAGTGTTTCTGAAATTGCAGCCATATGTTCAGTCTACAGTGGCGTCTCGGTCCAATCAGAAACTCTCCTTCAGGTTCTATGGACCTTTCAAGATCCTTCAGCGAGTTGGTCAGGTGGCCTACAAGCTTGATTTACCAGCTGATGCCAAGATACATCCAGTGGTGCACGTATCTCAGCTGAAGTGGCACATCCCAGCTACTGCATCCGTAAGTTCTGACCTATCAACTGTCAGCTCTGATCCTACACAGATTCAGTGGCCACGGCGCATCCTGGCAAGGCGATCTATCCGACGCGGCGACTCAGTGGTTCCACAATATCTCATTCAGTGGGGAGAGCTACCACCCGAGATGACCACATGGGAAGACGCCAAGATGCTATCAGACCACCTGGAGGTGATGCAAGTGTGAGTTGTCGGATTTGATACAGCTTGAGGACAAGCTGTCGTTTAACAGGGGAGGAGTTTTATGACCTGTGGGCCTTGGGCCGTTAGGAGTAGTGGGCCGTGGTGCCGCGTCGAGTGGTGTTAGAGTCGGTGTTCGGCCAGCAGAGTATATAAGCTGAGCCGTTGTAACAAACCAGGAAGGAAGAACTGAATGCTAAACCGTCCCCAACAATCTCTCCCACGGATCCTGTCGTGTTCCTTCTAGTTCTTCCCCGATCCTTGCTACGTTTCCACCTCATACTCCCTTCAGTTATCTGGGATCATAACAGATGCCCCCCGTGAGACAGTACTGTAGCAAAACGGTTGCGTAAACCTTCCGCACGAAATCCCACTGCTGCGGCGGGGTCCCGCCGTCCACCTTCATCGGCGGCCACGGCGGTGGCGGTTGCCTTATTGGCCTTGGCGGTGGCGCCGTAATGAAATGGACTTCGAGCTTTGCCGCCGCCTTCGTTGATGTGGCGGCCACGCCAGCCTCGAGATCAGGTTCAACCTCCGACATGGCGGCGAGCGAGGGTTTATGGGTTTGGGGCGTTCGGCCGGGGTCTAGATGTTGGTAGCGTAGGGATCGACGTGAAAACTGAACTTTTTTTTTAGGGGACGTGAAAACTGAACTTGCAAAGAAACAGAAAGGTGATACAAGTAACAAGTAGGCGCGGGGGATACTGGAATACGCTACGGACTCGGCTATCGGGCGATGATTTTCCAGTTAGTAAGTATAGGAGTATCCCGAGATAGAATAGTTTGCACTTCATGTCACCTGAAATATATTTCCATTTTTCTCTCTTCATTAATGTGGAAGGGATCACCTTCGGGTCTACATCATCTCCCTCTTCTCTCAGCGTCTGTCTTGCAGCCTGGATCGGCATGGCAGCCTATGGCCTTCCTCAAGGGTCGGGGGTCGGGGCACGGTGGCAACATGCCAACATGGCCTCTCTCTTGGCCCGTTCTTTGGCGACGAAGGCACCTCGCGGTGGCGGGCAACCCCGTTGCGGGCACGTGCATTGGCTACGTACGGCGTCACTCACGGTGGCACGGTGGTTGCCCATGCGTGGCAGCGTGGGCTTGCTGCTGCTGTTGGGAAAGGGAAAGCGGATGAACTGCTCCCCGTTTCTTTTGAAATTGAGGAATTGGGTGGTGTTTTTCCCCTCAATTTTTCAGAAAAAAATAGAGAAAGAGAATTGTAAAGGGTTCTCGAAAAGAAGGAAAAAAATGGAAAAGAAAGGGTGCTCGTGATACATGCAGCATGGGCCTATTTTCAGCGGTTCAATTACCTCTAAATGGGCCTCAACCTACCCGACCCAATAAACCACCTTCGATTCTTAACCGAATCGGAAGACCGAAGGCTTCTCCTTTTCTAATAGTCGTCACCTCAGCCTCGGCCGGCCCACCGATCCGCACCCGCACCACCGCACGCACACACCCCGCACCCTACCCGGCGAGCTCGCTGCCGGCCGCCGCGCAGCTAGGGCCTACACTCCCGGCGGCGGCGATGGCGGAGGAGCTGGTGCTGGACACGGCGATCCGGGACTGGGTCCTGATCCCGCTCTCCGTGGTTATGGTCCTCATCGGCGTGCTCCGCTACTTTGTCTCCAAGCTCATGCGCTCCCCGGCGACCTCCCCGTCTCCCGACCCCAAGCTCGTTAAAGAAGGGTACGAAACTTCTCTTCTCCCCACCCCAATTCCCTCCCGATCTGTTCTCCGGTTCGCTCGGAGGGTTCGCTGGATCCGAGCGATCTAGATCCAGGAGCCTCCTCTGGGGTTTAGTTCATAGTCAAATTTGCATCTGTGATTGTATCGGAGGTTGTGAGTTTAAGCTGCTGACGCTCAGCTGTTGATTTACTAGCTGACGTGATGGTTTTGCTGATCCGCAGGCAGGTGGTCATCAGGGCGAGGAACCTGAGGACCAACGCGCAGTTCATCCCGGCCAAGGCTTTCAAGGCACGCAAGGTTTATTACACCAACGAGGTAATCTTAATTCTAAGTGAAGCATCGAAACAGTAGGATCAGGGAAACTGTTAAGCTTACCCTGTTTAGTGATGATAGAGTGTGCACAAGCAACAGGTGTGGTAACAGGAATCACAAAGCTGTATAATTGCCACGGTGGTCCTGATGATGCTTAGTTATTATGATTTGAAACGCTGATTGGACTATTCCACATGACTTCTCCAGTAGTCTAGTGTATATTGTGCTTACAATATCTAGTGATTGTAGGAAAATGGATTACTTCATGTTCCAAAGGAAGAGGCGCAGAAGGCTCAGGCAGCCATGTTTTCAGATCCAAACATGGCCATGGACATGATGAAGAAGAATCTATCCATGATAGTTCCTCAGGTTCTATGTTCTGCACATTGATTTATTTGTGTTGCAGTATAGTTGGCTATCTGTGTGGCATTCTACCTTATATTAACATGCTGATTTGTCTTTTTGCAGACACTTACATTTGCATGGGTGAACTTTTTCTTTTCAGGTTTTGTTGCAGGTATGTCCATATTTGCTTAATATATATATGATTTGTGATACCTGATCTTCTCATATGTCAGCTATAAGTTTAATCCTCATATTAATTCCAATTCCATGCTGTTATAAGATCACCTCTGTTAATTTCAGAAGCTCAATTCTACCTTTCAAGTCTCTGCAAAGTTATTTGTATATAAACACACCTCAACTTTATCTTATGGTATCATCAATAGATGATGGAAATGATTTTTTAACACATTTTGGTATGGCAATTGGCAATCTTTGGAAGAAACCTGATACCAAAACTATGTTCTGAAGTCGCCATTTCTTTTCACTTTTTAATTGAAAATGATAGGGTAAAATGCTATTTTATGGTCACGTTCTCAATCTAGCACTTTTCAACTCCTGGTTTGTGATCCCAATAAAACTTAGAGATGCATTGTTAAGAATTAAATACTTCTGATGAAATTAGTAGTTGGCAGATTTCACGTAATAGTGCAGACATATACCCATGTGTATTATTTGCTTTTGCTGTTTTTGTTATCATGTCTTATCTCCAATTGTATGTAGTTGAAGCATGCTCACATATATGCCAATCTCTTTTCAGCGAAAATCCCCTTTCCATTGACTCAAAGATTCAGGGGAATGCTGCAAAATGGGATTGACCTGAGCACTGTTGATGTCAGCTATGTCAGCAGCCGTTCATGGTATGTATAGAATTATTATCTTTGTGTCAAGGTCTCAAGGAATTACCTTGATGATATAGTGACTAGGAGCTCTATATTAACGTTTGCTGTTATTGATAGGTATTTCCTCAATTTATTCGGCTTGAGGGGTCTTTTCAGTCTGATCCTTGGTGAAGAAAACGGTAATGATACTCACCTTTATATGTCTCTGGAAAACTTGTTAGTGGTGTTTATTTATTGTTTTGCATTGCCTGGTGGTTTGATTATCTTTGCCTGGATGTGCAGCAACTGATGATGCACAAAAGATGATGCAAATGGGCGGTGGATTTGGATTTAACCCAACAATGGTAAGATGCTCTCTGTTATTTATGCAAATTCTTGGTGCTTGTTCCTGATTGATACATGATGACGCATGGTACATCATACACCACTTATTTTCACATTCAAAGGAAACAAAAACAGCTCTGCTTAGCATTTAGTCCTTCATTTTTTTATTTGCCAGTCTCGCTTTTAATTCAGCATTCTTAAAAACTAGATTAATTAATCTTACATAGAAGTTTGTGGTTAGGTGGAGTATTTGTGAATGAATTTTGAGTTACATGTATGGTAAGTCGTTATGGTCTGCAGTTACAGTCAATCATCAACCTCCTACGAACATTGTTCCAAGGATCCTATTGTACAGGGGAAATTGTAGCTGATTTCCTCTTGCTCTGGTGTCAAACATCTGATACTGCAAGAACTTGATGGCTCCTATGCCCAGCTTTTGGCATCTTTTGCATCTTGAGATATCTATTTTATGAACTTGGAAGTTTCCGTCGTTGTTTTTATTCTTCACTTAGTTGTTGGTGTCTTGCTGCCGTAGTTACCCAGAGCTGATCTTGATATGTACGATTACTGCATTTTGTTTGTTTATTTCACATGTCTATATCTGTGTCAATATAATTATCTGTTCTGAACTTGTGACTTGACAAGATTGAGACCTTAACTTTTTTTTGATTGGCTATTTCCAGAGTTTGGGTGCAGAGAAAGACAGCCTGGATATCATCCAGCATGACTGGGCTCTACCTAAGATGGAGCGGCACGCAGAAGATGTGTTGAAACAATTGCTGAAGAAATGACATGAACGGTGGCTTCAGGGAAGCAATACTCGCGTCTTCCAGTTTTTGTTGTAGCCTGTTTGGACCAGGAATTTTACACATTTCTAATTGTATTATTTATAACTGGCTACGATAACACCCTTAGAAACTGGAGACCTAGGTTCACAAGAACTTTGGTGTTGTGATACTTATATAAGTAGAAAAGATGTAATTCTGTAACTCTCTTCTGCTGATATTTATGAGCGTTGTTTCAGCAGTCTTGTTTTGATTTCTTCTGCGCATGGAATCTGCCAGGTTTTTGACAGGATCTTAATGTTGTACCAGTAACCTTATCGATCGCCAAGATAAAACTGCTTCTTATTCCGAAAGGGTTAAGACGAACGCCCTTTGTTCAAAAGATGGCCAACATCATGATTGATTGTTCTTAGAGCTGCAGTTCTCAACTCTGGCAGCCGTCTCACATGACATGACCGGGTAGCTCGGGAGCAGAGCGATGCCGCAGAGGCCGGACGCGACGCTGGCTTCGCGCTGCATGAGGATGTAGCCGGCGGCGCCCCACTCGGCCCCCCACGAATTCTTGACGATCCAGTACTTCTGCCCGGGCACGCCGGTACCGTCGCCGTCCGTGTCCCCCTGGGTCTCGCCGTACCCGACCACCGTGACGCCGTGGTTCAGGTCGGCAGTGCAGGGCCCCGTGAACACCCCGCCGCCGTAGAGCTGCCACACGAAGCTGCCGGCGTCCACGGCCACGGACACCGGCTGCGCCGCGGCGGCCCGCAGGAGGTCGGGCTCGCTGCTGGCCGTCACGTTCACGTACCCCGAGATGCTCACCGCGCTCTCCTTCAGCTTCGGCGTCTGGCAGGCGCCGTTCATCCCTGCACGCGAATGCAACGAACGTGAAATGCAAATCCTTGATCTCCTGGTGCAGTCAAATGGAAGAGCACGAGCTTTCCGTTTTCATATATTAAGGAGTACCTTGGTATGGGTAGTTCTGTTCGGTGGTGAGGCCACTGTTCTTCATGACGAACTCAAAGGCCCAGCTCATGTATCCGCCGGCGCAGCCGACGGCCTTGGTGTCGCAGTCCACCAGCTCCTGCTCCGACAGGGACACCAGCTTCCCGTTCTTGATCTGGTTGATGCCCTCGATGGCCGCAACGGCAGAGAACGCCCAGCAAGAACCTGCAGGACACGCAAAATGTCACCAAAAACAGGCGTCGCATCCATCGTTCTTCAGACCATTGTTCACCGATGCTACCACTCACCACACTCCCCCTGGTTCTTCACCGGCGCGACAGCTCCTTTCTCTCGCCAATCCACGCTTTTCGGTACTTCATCAGAATAACCTCGACCCACCAGTCCACTACCAATCTATAACCAGCACAAACATCATGGGAAAACATAGCTGAGAAACTTTCGACGGCTACAGTCAATGATTGCTGTGATGCTGTTATTACTGACAATGCAAGCTCATAGTTTCAGAGAAAGAGAATACAAACACAAGCCACGGTGCTCGGCGTCGTGGTGTGCCCGGCTCTGGCGTGAGGCCGTCCGAAGCCCAGCATCTTGGCCCTGAACTCCTCGTTCGTCAGGTCGGCGAACTTGTTGTCGGCCAGCTTGTACCCGCCGTTGCTCATGGAGTTGAACGTCTCGACCAGCTCCACGTTCCTCCGGTACACCTCGAGCCGCCTCTGCTTCTCTGCCGCGTCGGCGTACAGCCGGCCATGTCTGCCCATCCACTGCTCGAACCTCTCGAGCATCGGGTCGGCACGCGCTAGGACGACCGCGCCGCATATCCAGACGACAGCCAGCAGCACGAGAAGCGGCGAAGACCTCGCCATTGCTGGAGCTTTGGCTTGGCCTGGGGAGGAGGACGGCGATCGGCGATGGTGCATGCACGGAGGGCGCGATGATCGTGGAATGTGGAAGCACTTATAGTCGTCGGTAACTTGCGACAGGCTGGGGACATTGCGAGAAGGTCGTTATGGACTGTCCTCATCATGCCGTGAGCGTGATTTGGGGGATGATCTGTTGCACAAGCATGCACCGTTGCATTGCATGTGAAGTGCGCTGGAAAGAAGAATGGCGCACAGGATTTTCGTTTTGTGACGGCAAGTTGTCTTGGCTGTTCCGTTTCTTTGACCTTTTATCTTGTTCTGTGAAGACATGCTTGCATTTATAATAGATAGATTACTGTGCTTTGCCATAGAAGGAAAGGCAAGGCCGTAAGGTTATGCGGTAAAGGCCCGTTCGATACACATGTCTAGTTACTACTAGTTTAGGCTAAAGATTAACCCAAATTAGCTATAGTTGGCTAACAACTACTTGAAGACTTAGCTAAAAAATTAGCCCACCTATTAATTCTCCTGTTTAGATGCACTAAAGCTAATTTAAGCTAAAAAGCTAGCTAACAATTAGCCATGGTATCAAACATGCCCAAAGTAACGTACACCGGTAATCCAGATTACACTAGTCCAGTAGTAATTAACCTTACAGTCTAAAATACAGGGGATGCCCAAATATACTTGTTTTGCATCAATCTACCTTCAATATACTGTAAATCATTCAGTATAAAACAATGTGGAAATAAGAATAAACATTAGATGTACTCCAGAACTTTTGCTTACATCAAACACCAGATTGCCTATATGCAGATGAGAGAACAATCCGGCAAATTATTCTTCTGAAAAAAAAAACTAGCAGCACTATTGGAAAGCTCAAAATATAGAAACCAGGTATTGCTGAAAGTGCAGTATACACCGAACTAACTGTACAGATGGCGAGCTGTATCAACGGAGCTTCAAGGACAACACGAGTATTCCCACTCAAACAACAGTTTAATGCTCTTGAAGCTGTCAAGATGCTACATGTACATGAATCGTCCACTGGAATTGCCACTCTATGGCATCAGGCCTTGCCCTTGTGGAAAGTATCACTACTTTATCTGATACTCGTAAAGTGCAGAACAGGAGCAACAACAGTGCATTAATGGCCGAGCCATGTAGAAGGCACCGGCTGAAACCTAGACTTAGCAGTTGATAGAGCATCATGGTACTCAGCCCCACTGAAACAGTCACGGAAGTCGGTGAACAGCTTGTCAAACACCCTCCACAGTACCTTATATGATCTGGAGTATGGAAATGGAAGGAAAAACTGCACATGAAAGAAGTACATAAGTCATCTGCTATGAATACTAGCATATCCAAAAGTCAACCATAAGGCCCTCTTTGGTTCACACCTCCTAAAGTTTAGTCACCTAAACCAGCTCCTAAAGTTTAATCATCCCCTGTTTGGTTTGGTGGACTACAAGAGGCCTTTTAGTCCCTTTTAGTTAGGGTGTTTGGCTCCAAAGTGACTAAAAGGTGAGGTAGCCTGACTAAAAGGTGAGTTTTAGTCTCATTTAGCAACAATTGGGTGACTAGTTGGCTAATGCACTTTTTAGTCCCATTTAGTCATAATGTTTGGGTAAAAATGACTAAATGGGACTACATTTAGGAGGTGGGGAGTGAACCAAACACCCCCTAAGTTGTCTATGATACACCTTATCATATTATTATGCCAGTACTAAAACATGAACATCACAATGCATCAGAGTAGTACTTCTGGGGAATTTTATGCCTGTGTCCATTGTAACTCGGGAAGTTTGGGTATTGTTTTTTGTGAGTTAAAGAAAATGCAAACAAAATTATCTTACTTCTCCTTCTTGTGCAATGCGTTTTAACAACACGAAAGTTTGCTGGTTTTCTTCCAAGCTGTCAATGACTGCAAGCCATATTTTTGAAGCAAGATCATGGGCCTTTTCTCCTGTATTACCACAAGCAATGAACTGATCTGTATGGAGGAGAAGAAAAGGCGTGTTAATTTAGAGTTAGCATAAGGCATAAGCATGAGTATGAGCAATCCTCTGGGAGGATTATCTTTACATTAAGTACAGAGAAGTATTGTGAACTCCAATATTTCCACCGAAGCAGCTCATATATGACAGGGGAAGGGACATGAATGCTCAGTGATGTCCTATCCTCACAACCCTAAAACACCTGCAGTTGCTAATAAACTGTGGTGTACATATAGCTCATGAACACCTCATTTGCTCGAGAATCCATCCAGCATACCTTAGACTGGAGCAGATAAATACTGTCTAAAGCATACTGAAGTATGCTTATACATTAACTCTTCTTATGGCACCAGACATATTCTATCAAAATATTCCACTAGTTGGTATGATTTCATTGCAGGATACCGTTTTCTTTTTATCTTTCGAGCATGCCTTTGACCACTAATCCGCTATCATCATTAAACACTGGAAGCACTCTGTCACTAAAAGGGCATACCCAGCGCAGAGAGCTCCCGCTCTGTGCGGGGTCTGGGGAAGGGTGTTAGTGGCAAGCCTTACCCTCGCCTGTGCAATGTGAGGAGACCGCGACTCGAACCCGGGACCTTCCGGTCACAGGCGGTAAGACTCTACCACTTGCACCAAACCACTCTGTCACTGAAAAAAAAACAGATGAACGTCACTCTTGTGCAAGTTGGAACAGAAAACCTCACCAATGATGGTGCCATGAAGTATGCTGGAAGGAGGCATGGTAGGGTGCTCAAGCTGTTCTTTTAAGTAGAGATAAGTGTGACCAACAAGCTCATCAATCTCCCCACCAGATTGTACTAAGTTCTCACTGACATACAGTGCTTGAAATCTCCTAAAAGGACCCAAGAAACAATTTTCATTGGATGTTAAAGACACTAGAGCTAGATGATATCCCAAGAGTGAAGTTCTGAATTCTGATCTAGCGAGTATGTATTGCATAAGCCAGTTCTTCTTTGTTTTCTTTTACTTTTTTTTTCCTGAACGGGAGAACATGCCAGCTTATTGCGTTACTTCACTTCAAAGTGACATTGCCAAAATTAAATTCAAAGAACATGTAATCTAATAATGCAAGGAACAGAATTCAGGAATTCATGGAAACTAGAGAGAGCAGCATTTGGCAGTAGTTTGACTGTTTTCAAAACCAACATTTAGGACACAACAA